CCAAGTAGCTGGGACCACAGGCGCCCGCCACAACGCCTGGCTATTTTTTGGTTGCAGCCATTATTGTTGTTTGGCGGGTCCGGACTGGATTCGAACCCGCCACCTTAGGTATATGTGGCTGGCGTCTTAGCCGCTTGAGCCACAGGCGCCAAGCCTGCTTTTTGTGTCTTAATACTTCTCATATACAAAGCACTTTTTCATTTCAGTATGCTTTATACGTGGTAGCTATTCAGCAGAATGAAAGTTCAAACTTCTATGTGTTCTTCCAAAGAATAATTGGAACAAGTTGAAGTTTTCTTATGCAGTTCATGGCTAAAGCAATTTGTTTTTTCTCTTTTAGGATGGCTGGAATGGCCTTAGCCACGAGGCTTTTAGAATTGTTTCAAGACGGGATTATGCGTAAGTACAACTTGATTCTATTGAGGGAGAATACATACTAAACCCCAAGAGCAGAGGGCTCTACATTCATTGATTAACTCTTCCTCTCTGTAGTTACTCAGTTTGTTTATAGGTAATGTAATATGCCACGGTTCATTTCTCTATCGAATATTCTTCAGTCTCTGGACATTTTGGTCACAATATTGTTGGATGGATTTTTTTGTTGGTTTTTTGAGATAGCCACGTTGACATGCTTCATAGAGTACTGTAGCGTCATACCTCACAGCAACCTCAAAACTCTTGGGCTCCAGTGATTCTCTTGCCTCAGCCTCTTGTAGCTGGGACTAAGGCACCTACCACAATGCCTGGCTATTTTCACTTGGGCTCCAGTGATTCTCTTGCCTCAGCCTCTTTTAGCTGGGACTACAGGCACCTACCACAATGCCTGGCTATTTTTCAAGTTGGGGGGTCTTATTCTGGTTCAGGCTTGTCTTGAACTCCTGAGCTCAAGGAATCCACCACAGCCAGCCCCAATGTTGTTTTAAATGTCTTACAGATCAGAAGCAATCAAAGGAGCAGTTGTTGGTATTGATTTGGGTACTACTAACTCCTGTGTGGCAGTTATGGAAGGTAAACAAGCAAAGGTAAGCATGAATGGTAGCTAGGATCCCAATTTTGTGCCTTTTGCCTTAGAGGAGGGATGCTAAGACATGATTTACACTTACAAACTGCATTTGGTTACTTAAAACTTGTCAGGTGAACCTTTGTGGTGCTGATAATTGCACATATTTGGCTTTCTAGGATAGGATTTAAATTATCTTTCTGGTATAGAGGTAAACTAATGACATTAGGAAGAGTTGGAATGGCTTGCCCTGTTACTCTTATAACCAGAGTCCTGCATTTTTGTAAGTTAGTTGAAGGAAGATTGGAAGTGCAGGAACAAACTTCTCAGAAAGTTGGAGCTCCACAGCTTAAATGAAAAATGTTCTTCAGAGCTTCAGATATCCTTACTCTGTACATGAAACCTTTATTTCCATTGGTTTAGATGTCGTACACCTGGGATCTCTTTCCATTCATGGCCTTTCTGCTTTCATGCTTCCTCTTTCCCCCACACCATACCCTTTTCTGAAACAACTTGAGCTCTTTTTTTTTTTTTTAGAGACAGAATCTCACTTTTTTGCCCTTGGTAGAGGTAGAGTTCCTGGTGTTACAGCTAACAGCAACCTCAAACTTTTGGGCTCATGCTATTCTCTTGTCTTAGCCTGACTACAGACACCCACCACAATGCCGGGCTCTTTTTAGAGATGAGGTCTCACTCTAGTTTAGGCTGGTCTTAAACTCCTGAGCTCAGGCAGTCCACCCTCCGCGACCTCCCAGAGTGCTAGGGTTACAGGCATGAGCCACCATGCCTGGCCTACCTGAGCTAGGTAGAGACTTCTTATCCCACTTGTTTGGTACCAAGAGAAGCCCTGATACTGCTTCTTGGCGTGTTTTCTACCTGTATATGACTGAAATTTTGCTGCCACAAAAACTTTTAGTAGTACACTTAATTCTGTACATATAAAAGGAACTATTATCTCAACAGAGTATGAAAAACCTGATTATAGGCTCAGCGCCTGTGGCTCAGGCGCCTGCCACATACACCTAAGGTGGTGGGTTCAAATCCAGCCCGGACCCGCCAAACAACAATGATGGCTGCAGCCAAAAAATAGCCAGGTGTTGTGGCGGGCACCTGTGGTCCCAGCTACTTGGGAGGTGGAGGCAGGAGACTCGCTTGAGCCCAGGAGTCGGAGGTTGCTGTGAGCTGTGATGCCACGGCACTCTACCCAGGGGGACAGCTTGAGGCT